GAGCTGGGCACACCACCAGCAAAATGCTAGCTACCAAAAAGTTATGCTTAACTCTGTTCTTTTGTGTCTAAAATTACTTTTTAAGCTTTTAGGTTTTATGTGGATGTAGCTAGTACATGTCGGAGTGCCAATTTGTTGTAGGAGCCAGCTTGTTTGTTTCCAGCTGCCCAGACTCAAAATAACCACACAGAAACTGTATTAATTACAGCACTGCTTGGCCTATTAGCTCACGCATATTTCTAGCTAACCCTTATCTCTTAAATTAGCCCATTTCTATTATTTTATATTTTACCATGAGGCTCATGGCCTACCAGCAAGGTTCTAGCTGGGGCTTGCATCTTTCTCCTCTGGCGGCTCCATGGCATCTCCTATTCTGCTTTCTTTCTCCCAGCATTCAGTTTAATTTTCCTCGCCTAGCTCTATGCTGCCCTGTAACAGGCCCAACACAGCTTCTTTATTAACCAATGATATTCACAGCATACAGAGAGGAATCCCACATCAGAAAAAAGAAAAGTCAAGTTGTATAAACTTAATAACAAAATGCATGGAAGAAATATGTGAAATAATAATAAGTATTCTGAAAATTATCAATAAAAATCACTAGATGAGGGGAAAACACTGGTTTTTTTTTTCTAGTGGATCCTGACTTTCAGGAGTCAGAGGCAGGAAACTTGTGAGTTCAAGACTAGGCTGGCTACAAAGTGAGCCCTACACACGCATGCACATGTGTGCACACAGCATCTCCAAACAAGAACCAAGAAGTGGAATTAAGAGACAAAAAGATGATGATGGCTTAGTAGTTAGTCAGGGCACCTGTCTAGCAAGTGCAAGATCCTACCATGTACTAAAGATGACTAGGAATACAACAAGATTAGTACAGCCGCTTTCGCCATCATAGGACGATCTAACACAAAGTCAAAGGAGCAAGCCTAGAAAGTCATCACTGAACTGAGACGAAAATAAGGGCCCAGGAGATGGGGACTTTGTGGCCTAAGGAGCCGGGTCCTGCAGAGTTCTGCTGAGAAAGGAGAGCTGAGAGGAAAGCCACGCGCCAAGGTGGCAAAGTGTGCTGCAGAGATAGCTTAACACTCGGCAAACCTGTAAAACTCTACGGTTGTCTAGAGGTAGTTTGACCAGTAACTTCTTACAGTAGTATTTAAAAACTTCAATCGCTGCCAGGTGGTGGTGGCGCACACCTTTAATCCCAGCATTTGGAAGGCAGAGGCAGGCAGATCTCTGAGTTCTGGGAAGCCTGGTCTACAGAGTGAGTTCTAGGACAGCCAAAGCTACACAGAGAAGCCCTGTCTCAAAATAAATAAATAAATTTAAAAATTTTTAAAAATAAAATAAAATTTCAATTGCTCTGACTAGTTCCAAAATAAGAGCAGGGGTGTGGAGACCTGAACTCTCAAGAAAATGTGCTGGACATTTGCTCTCAAGTGGCAATTCATTTTAAAAAATGATTGACAGATGAGCCTTGTGCACGACTTGAAAGCTATACCTAATGACTACAACCTCCATGTGCACAACTTACACACCGTGGATTGCTATTGTCTGTGTGCATGATGTGTGCACCTGTGTATGCATGTGTGCATGTGTGTGCATGTACACTCATGTGGGCACATGAGATCAGAGGTTGACATTGAGGGGTCTTTCCTTAGTCTCCTCTTGACCTCGTTTTTGTTTTATTTTATTTTAGTTTAGTTTTTTGAGACAGGGTCTCTTGCTGAACTTAAGGTTCACCATATTAGCAAGGCTGGCCAGTCAGTGAAGCCCCAGGGTCTTCCTGTCTCAGCTCCTCAGCACTGGGTTACAGGTGTATACCACCGTGTCCAGATGTTTGTCCAAGCTCAGGTCTCCATGCTTGCATAGCAAGCCCTTTCCCCCCAGCCCCCGTCACCGCCACAGTCCCCCCCTTTGGGTCATTAAACAGGGTTTCTCTGTGACTCAGTCTTGGCTGTTGTGGAACTCACTTGCCCGACCAGGTTGGCCCTGAACTCACAGAGACCCGCCTGGCTCTGCCTCCCAAGTGCTGGGATTAAAGGTGTGCGCCACCACTCTCCGGCTTCCTTTTTTAAAGAAAAAACTAAGTTTCATTGTGTAGCCCTAGCTGACTTAGCACTCACAGAGATCCATCTGCCTCTTCCTCCCCAGTGCTGGGATCAAACGGGTACACCACCAGGCCTGGCCTAATTTATTTATTGGCAGAGACAAGCTAATGCTAAGTGGATGTTGACAAAAATGAAGGGCACAGAGGAAGTCGGGTTTATCAGCAGAGTTGAGAGTACCAAATGTTTGCTTAAGAAATGTTCAGAACCCAGTTTATCATATTTTTCCAGAGCTCAATTCTTCCTGGGTTACTCTTCATTCAAGGATTCAGGGGATGGGCAGCAGACTGAACTAGAGAGCTGGCTCAGTGAGTAAGAGGTGCACTGCTCTCACAGATGACCGGAGCTCAGCTCTCGGCATCCCACACCAGGCTGATCACAACCACAACTCCGACTCCATGGATCCAGCGCCCTCTTCTGGACACTGCAGGCACTGCACTCACAGACACACACCCACATAGGCACAAACACATATGATTTAAAATAAATAAATAAACAAATAAACAAATCTTTAAAAAACAAAAGACCGTGGAGACCAAAGGGAGAGGAATCCTGTGTCCTTACAGTCTTCTCTCGGCTGGGCCTGCGCCTGGCACCTGTCTCAGGCTCCTCAGGAGACCACTTTCTGCTCTGGGCTCCCTACTCCCCACTGTCTTCCACATGCTTATTCTTCTAGATTTTTTCATCTCTCAACCAAGACTGTCACTGCAATAACTAAACAATTCCAGAATGTCTGTGACACTTGGCCCATAGTTGGGTCAGCCGTGGGTGTCACAGGCTGGCAGTTCCAAAGACAACAAAAGAACTAACTTCTAAGCCGGGTTCAGAAACCACATGGCCACAGAGTGGCAGAATCCCCTACTCTGACTTTCATTCCCTTGTATCAGCAAATAGAAACCACTTCGTGACTGAGCAGAAAAGTTAGCCCTAGCACAAGGGGAAAAGGAAGCCAGTGGCCCTGAGTCACAAACACCAGCAGCACTTGTGAGGGTGGAGTTTAATCACAGCCCAGGGCTGAATGACTAATGCTGGCTGGGGCTCACACAGCGGCCTGAAGCCTGTGCTCCATGAGCCCTCGGGCTGAGGCTAGAGGCGCTGCCTGGACCATGGCCCTGCAGTTGCTCACTGACAACAGTCTGCCCTGGATCCAATGGCTCCTCCGTTTTCTGAAGCCCTTCTCAGTTTGTGCTATCCAGTCCTTCTCTATCACCAGTTTTGAGTTGGAAAAGGTCAAAATGCCAAAGATGATTCTCTTATCCAAATATCTTCTTATTGGGATAAAATACAAACAACCCTTCCCATACAGTTCTGCCTTGGTTAGTATTTTTTATTAACTAAGTGGTAAGCACTTGTGATATCAATGTCAGACAACCCCCAGAGACAACACTCCGGGGCCAATAAAATGTGTTTACTACACAAGAAGCTAAGTTCTCACCCCCACTGACTCAAGAGAAAGTTTAACGTGGTCTGGCAGGAGAGATGCGGCCTAACAGCATTTACTCCAGAAGAGAAAGTTGACACAATGGCTCGGTGAGTGAAGGCGCCTGCCAAGGCTGACGACCCGAGTCCCATCCTTGGACCCATGTGATAGGAGGAGATTCTGACCTCCACAGGTGCACCAAATCATACATGTGCATGCTTCTATCCCAAATAAACGTAACTTATAATAAAGAATTAGTCTCAAACTGGGCAGTGGTGACGCATGCCTTTAACCCAGTACTCAGGAGGCAGAGGCAGGCGGATCTCTGTGAGTTCGAGGCCAGCTTGGTCTACAGAGCGAGTTCCAGGACAGCTCCAAAGCTACAGAGAAACCCTGTTTCAAAAAAACAAAAACAAGGGGCTGGAGAGATGGCTCAACAGTTAAGAAAACTGCATGCTCTTCCAAAGGTCCTGAGTTCAATTTCCAGCAACCACATGGTGGCTCACAACCATCTGTAATGAGATCTGGTGCCCTCTTCTGGTCTGCAGGCACACATGCAGGCAGAGTACTGAGAATACTGTATACATAATAAATAAATAAATAAATAAATAAATCTTTAAAACAAACAAACAAACAAAATAAAACAAAACAAGTAGTATAGCCAGGGAGTAGGCTCATGTGCCCCACCTCTCTCTAAGACATAAGCATCTTCTACAGCGTCACAAACTTTCTGTCAACAGCGCCCCACTCCAGGCTATAGTCATGCACAACAGCCTTCCAGACAAGACAGATGTACCAAAGAAACGGCCATCCTTAGATTAGCACCTGCTTCCTGTTTTGTGGGATATTGGCAACGGTTTGGAAAATGCCACTCAAAGACTGTCACATGAACATAAGTCAATTGTTTGTAAAGAATTAAGATGTGGCAGCTTCCACAACTAACATTCGATAACTGCAGAATCAAAAAAAAAATTGCAGGGCCTAGTGGCCAACAGTGTCACCTGCAGACTCTAAAATGACCATGGTACACAGATGTCCCTTTGTTCCTCAGTACCTGGGAAAACAGCACACTGGCTGCTTGGTTAGGACATCGTAACCATACATCTCTTGTGACTGCTGAATCTCTCATCTCTTAGAAAATGCCAAAAACACTACGACCCCAAGAGCCCATAACTATAGCAATAACCTTTCCCCGAGTTGATTTAATTGATTTATAATTATCTATTTATATTCAACATGGGCACCTGCTGACTGCTACAGTATGTATCACATTATAAAATGATTTCAAACTTAATACATTCTGGAGTAGACCAAGGAAACCTTAGGAACAAGCTGAACAGCATGCCATAAAATAACACCAGAACGTCAGCCGGGCTCTGACCCTCCCTGGCTCAGGACTACACCAAGACAGAAGCGATTTTGAAACTGGAGGCCCGAGCCAAACCCAAGCTCTCGAACACGCATGCACTCACCTTAAGAGCAGCTCCTTGGGTAACTTTTTGTTGATAAGGCCATCATCACTATTTGAGAAAACCTGCAGCAGAGAGAAACGGTACAACAGTTCTTCAGCTAATGTACGAAAAAAACTAAATCACGTTTTTATATTGGGTCACAGCAGCACTACTTACTGTCCGACAGAAAAACAAAACCTTCACAACTGGAGTTCTGTGCCCAGCACCCACGTCAGGCGGCTCACCACACCTGTAATCCAGCTCACAGGACCAAACACCCCTGGCCTCCATGGCACCAGCACACAAGTGCATCTACTGCCCAAACCCCAACAAACACATATACATAATTAAAATGAATAAAATAAATCTTTTTAAAATGGCAACACAGCCATTCGTGTACTGCATTGTATTGGAGGCTCCGGGGAGAACACAGCAAGAGAAACAGAAGGACATAAATGACATGGGACTGTGTAGAGACAATTCCAGAAACCGTAACTCATCAAAGAGCTCATAAGGTCACACATTTATAAAAGCAGAAATGATATACTTTTAAAGACTTTTTTTAGTTATGTGTGTGCGCATCTGAGTGCAGCACTCTAGGAGGCCAGAAGAGGGCATTGGATCTCCTGGAGCTGGAGCTACAGGCAGCTGTGAGCTGTCTGCCCAAAGTGGGCGCTGGGAACTGAACTCCAGTTCTCTGTAGGAGCAGCCGGTGCTCTCAACTGCTGAGCCATCTCTCCAGCTTCATGAAAATATATTTCTATACATTAGAAATGGACAACTTGGAAATGAATTTTAAAAGGAATCAAATTTATAATGGCATTAAAATGAATAAAGTACTCAAAAATTATATATGTAATATATAATATATATATGAGTTCCATTGCTGAAATTGCATTCTGGGTTTGGAGAGATGGCTCAATGGGTCAGATGGTTTGATATGCAAACAGAAGGCTGGAGTTTGAATCCCAGCACCCACATGAAAAAGTCAGGCATGGTTGTGAGCGCTATAACGCCAGCATTGGCTGATACTGGATTTCAGCTCATTAGCCAGCCTTGCTGAACCAGTGAGCGTCAAGTTCAGTGAAAAATCCTGTCTCAAGGGGTGATGAGGAGGTTACTGACATCCTCCACGGGCCTCTACTTGCATGTGCACAGGCATACATCACACACACCAACATACATACACACATAAATACACAGAGGCATACACACACACACACACACACAGAGAGAGAGAGAGAGAGAGAGAGAGAGAGAGAGAGAGGTGTATTGCAATGGTCTGCTCGTCCCTTTAAGAGACAAGCCACCCTGAGCTGCCCGCTGCAGCCACTCAGAGATCCGCAGCATTTTACTTTTACCATAACATATATCACACCACATACCCATATGTATGTGTGCACACACACAAAGGGAGAAAGAAAAGAAATTTTGCTTTATTGGGTGCTGGGAGTCGTGGCCACGCCTCTAGAGGCTGAGGCAGGAAGACTGGGACATAAAAGATATCAGCCTGGCCTACAAAGCGAGGCCCTATCCCAGAACATCCAAACAAGAAGAAGAAATGAGGTGGGGGAGGGAAGAGAAAGGAAATAAAATTACTTCAGAATTGATGAGAGAAACTGATTCTATGAAATGAACTGACAGACTCCACACTCATGATAGCAACAGGCCAGCAGCCCCACACTGCTGCGCAGGCCTGCAGCTCCTACCAACATTTGTTCTGGAGCTCAAGCTCATGAAAATACAAGGGACCCAAAGTAGCTAACACAGGCCTGGAAAAGTTGGAGAGCTCAGTCCTCCTGATCTCAACATTTGCTCTAGGTCAGGCACAGGAGCACACACATCTCAGCTGCTACAGGGCTTGACGTGGAGCAATCGCTTGAGCCCAGACACACACACACACACACACACACACACACACACACACACACACACACGCAACTAAAATACTTTAATGTTTTTGATTTTTAACTCTTTATTCAAACTTACATATCTGTGTGTGTGGTGGTTTGGATGAAAATGGTCCCCACAGGCTTATAGGGAATGGCACTATTTGGAGGTGTGGCCTTGTGGAGGAAACATGTCACTGAGGGTGGTCTTTGGAGCTTCAAAAGCCCAAGCCAGGCACTGTATTACTCTCTTTTCCTGTTGCCTGCCAATCCAGACGTAGAACTCTCACCTGCTTCTCCAGCACCGTGTCTGGAATGCCTGCCACCATAATGACAATGGATTAAACTTCTAAACCACCAGCCCCAATTCAATGTTTTCCTTTTTAAGAGTTGTTGTGCCCATGGTGCCTCTTCACTGCGATGGTATGTGATTGTGTGGGCAGTACGCACAGAGGCCAGAAGAGGGCATCAGATCATTTGAAATTGGAGTTACAGGAGTTGTGAGTGGGCATGGGTGCTGGGAACTGAACTCAGGTCCTCTAAAGAAGCAATCTTAACCAGCGAGTCATCTCTCCAGTCCTAAAAATGTAAGTTTTTAACTACAAAGCTACAGTAACTGAAATTCTGAAGTCTGGTGTGGGAAGTCCTTCTGTATATGTGCTGCTTTTACTGGTTAATGAATAAAGAAGTTGCTTTGGGCCTGTGGCAGCGCAGAATAGAGCAAGGTGGGAATTCCAAGCAAAGATAGAGGAGAAAATAAGGTGGAGTTGAGGAAACGCCACGTAGCTGCTGAAGGAGTGAGATGCCTGCCCTGGAACCTTACCAGTAAACCATGAGCCTTGTAGTAAAGTACAAAATAATAGGAATGGGTTAATTTAGATTTAAGAGTTAGTAAATAAGAAGCCTGAGCTAATAGACCAAGAAGGGGTTTAATTAATACAGCTTTTGTGTGATTATTTTGGGTCTGGGCGGCCAGGAGGCATGATTAAGGACAAAGTGAGTAGGACTGAAGGCCCAGAAACAAACTTGATTTCAGGATTTTTGGCTTTTGGTTTGGTTTGGTTTTCTAGACAGAATTCCCTTGTAGCTTTGGAGCCTGTCCCAGAACCAGCTTTTGTGGACCAGGCTGGCCTCAAACTCACAGAGATCCACCTGCCTCTGCCTCTCGAGTGTTGGGATTAAAGCCGTGCACTACCACCGCCCACCATACACCAACTCTTATAGCTAGGAGCCACTGACTTAAATGGGGAAAAGCCTTCTGAAGAAATGTGCCAGGCCGATGGGGTCCTCATGAGAACCATGGGGCTGGACTTCACCTCCATCGCACGGAACTCACTCCAAGTGGAGGCGTGTGACGTAAACACAGGATCAGCAACTGCAGCCCTTGTGCTGTGGGCTCTGTGACAGTTTTCAACTATGGTACCCAAACCACAGACAACCAAAATAAATGTAGATGAGGTGAACATCATTGAGAGAGAGAATACCCCCTTGATACAAAGGGCACCGTTCAGAAAGGGAAAAGGAGCTGTGCGCCGTGGAGCCCCCTCCTGTAGCACCAGAGCTTCCGAGGCAGAGGCAGGAGACTGACACACATTTGAAGCCCCACTCGCCTATCCTGGGAGTTCCAGGCCACATAGGGAGACCCTGCGGGAGCAGGGGTGGAGTGGGGGGACAGAGAGAGAGAGACAGAAACCAATGAATACTCATAAAAATTTGCAACACCATGAAGGGGATCCCAGGACACATCAGAGACTTCTCAACAATAAAAAGGCAAGCTAGTGCTGGGGAGAGGCTCGGTGGGTGCACCACTTGGGCAGCAAGCATGAGGACCTAGTTCAAATCCCCAACACCCATGTAAGAAACCAAGCATGGATGAGCATGCCAGTAACCCCAGCTTTGGAGAGGGTGGTGTTGGAGACAGGCAGACCCCAAGATCTCGCTGTCCAGCTAGCCTGGCTGGTGAGCTTCAGGTTCAGTGTGAGACCCGGTCTCAAGACAATAAGGCGGAGAGTGACAATCACTCAACACCCTGCTCTGGGCTCTACATGCACAAAAACGTGCATGCTCACACTCATGTGTACATACCTCATGACACGTTCACACATAAAGCAACAGCCCAATGAAAGAACTGGCAAAGAAGCCGGGTGTGATATTATATGCCTGTAGTCCCAGCTACTTGGGAGGGTGAGGCAGAAGGATTCACTTAAATTATGATTCTGAGACCAGCCTGGGCATCATAGTAAAACCCATCTAATAAACAGGGGGTGCACCTCAGCTGACAGAGCGCTTGTCTGCGCCCTGGTTTTCACCAAAGTCCGGTGTAAACTGGTCAGCCTCTCAACCCTGGCATTTGGGAGGTAAAGGTGTGGGCATCAGAACATTAAGGTTATTTTCAGTTACACAGCAAGCTCAAGGCCAGCCTGCAATATATGAGACACTGTCAAAACACATACATGAAAACAGCCCAGTGATGGCACATGCCTTTAATCTCAGCACTTGGGAGGCAGAGACTGGTGGACCTCTGTGAATTTGAGGTCAGCCTGGCTATACAGAGTACGACCCCGGTCCCAACAAACAAAACAAACCTTAAAACTTACAACTGCCTGTTAACTCCAGTTCCAGGGGACATAGGGCCCTCTTCTGGCTTTCTAAGGCATCCAGGCTCACGTCCACACACCCACACAGAGATACACAGACACAAAATTCAAAATAAATTTCAAAACAACAAACATGTAGCATGTAGCTGAGGCGACCACAGGTCTTAGTGGAGACCCGCTACAACTGTTCTATGGAAGCTATTGCACCCATCAGACTCCCTTCCAAACACGCTTGTTTGTGCTACAGGTCAGCACTGCTGCCGGCTTCAGAGACGCATTCTTGCAGTGGGCGGCAATTACTGCAGATTCACACCTGGTCAGACTGCTGAGAAACACCGACTGCTGAAAGTCAAGCCCTAAAAAGGAGTCCTCCATGGTGGACAATGGCTGTGGAAGGAAAGGGGGTGTGGGGGAGGGGAGGGTGCTGTGCTGTGAATGCTGTCTTCTGAACAGGAGAGGGACGGTGCACTCTGGACACATCCTACAGAAGACAGACCATCAACACACCATCGTAGAGCCGGGAGCAAACCGAGTACACAAAGACGTGTAAACAAAACCAGAACTAATCCTACAAGCTGTCATCAGACAATATTAATAGACAGTTTGTCAGAGAGAGCAAAGAGGGGGAGGTCAGCCTTCCGCTGTTCAGATGATAAGACACTGAGATTCTTCTTTTCATCTTTAGACTTATTTTATCTGAGCACTTTCCCTGCACGTATGTATGTGCGCCACATGCATGCCTGGTGCCTGCAGAGGTCAGAGGATGACTGTGGGTCACCATGTGGGTGCTGGGAAGCAAACTCAGGTCCTCTGCAAGGGCAAGTGCTCCTAACCACTGAGCCATCTCTCCAGTCCCTAAACACTGAAATTCTTTATGATTTACTTTTATTTATGTTATGTGTATGTGCATACATTTGTATGAACATCAGGCACATGTGTGCAGCGCCCCAGGAGACCAGAAAAAACAACAGATTCTCTGGACCTGGAGTAATAGGCAGTTGTGAGCTGCCACGTAGGTCCTGGGAACCAAACCCAGGTCCTTCGCAATTTTTTTTCTTTTCCTTTTTTATTCTGCATATGTGGGTGTTTTTTTAAAAAAATATTTATTTATTTATTATGTATACAATATTCTGTCTGTGTGTATGTCTGCAGGCCAGAAGAAGGCACCAGACCTCATTACAGATGGTTGTGAGCCACCATGTGGTTGCCAGGAATTGAACTCAGGACTTTTGGAAGAGCAGGCAATGCTTTTAACCACTGAGCCATCTCTCCAGCCCCCAATTCTGCATACGTGGTGTTTTGCCAGCATGTATGTGTGTGTACCACATGCATGCCTGGTGGCTGCAGAAACTGGAAGAGGGCATCAGACCCCCAAGGACCAGAGTTACAGACACCTGTCAGCAGTCACATGGGTGCTAGGAAAAGAACCTGGGTCCTTTGGAGGAGCAGTTAGTGCCCCAACCACTGAGGCATCTCTCCAACTCCCCTCTGAGATTCTTAATCTTAGTGCGGCACCTACTTCAGTTTGAAGGCCTTGGTGTGAAGGTTTAGGTCGTAGGCTTTGGAGAACAACTGAGTGATGTTAAATCCTTACTTGGCCACTGACCAACTACTGTGGGACTAGGCAAGGCACTTAATGTAGCTCTACTAAGTATGTAAAGTCAATCTCACAGGGACGGTGGAGGGGTGTGGGAATTCAATGTGATTGGCCTAGAACTCGGCTCTATGGAAGAAAGGTGTGAGAGTTACTGAAATCATTCTCTACCTCGACATCAGGAGCAGGAATCCAGACAACCTACTTTTTTATGGTCAGTGAGCACAGAGGTCTCATTGTGTAAGAGTCTCTGTCTCAATTAGTATCTTCTCCCGCAGTGGATTGTGGGTTCCAATTAATCTGCACCTCCCCTCGCAGTGGACTGTGGGTCTCAGTCTGCACCTCCCCTCACAGGGGACTGTGGGTCTCAGTCTGCACCTCCCCTCGTGCTATGGGGATTGCAGGTCTTGCGTATGCCAGGCAAGTGCTCTACCAATGAGCCCCTTTCATTTTCAGACAGACAAGATCTCTCTAAATTATTCAAGCTGGCCTTGAAGTTAAGATTTTTCTATCATAGGCTGTGTTAGGAGCATGGGTGCCAGCAATCCCAGCACCCAGGAGGCTGAGGCAGGAGAATCACCACAAATTCAAAGCAAGCCTAGTCTACATAGTAAGTTCTAGAATAGCTAGGGCTATAAAAAAATCTATACACAGACACGCATACACACACACACACACATATACATACACAATTGATAAAGTGCTTGTCACATAGGAATGAGGGCCTGGGTTTGATCCCGAGAACACACAATAAACCACCAACAACAAAAAACCCCAGCTGTCCTGTGGCATGTGCTTCAATCCCATCAGGGGAAACAGGTGATCTCTGGGGCTTACTGGCCAGCCAGTCTAGACTAATAAAAATAAAATAATAAAAAACAAGGTAGCTGGCACCTGAGGAACAACACTCAAGGTTGACCTCTGACCTCCACACACATGCACCTGCACATGCATATCCAGAAAAGTTAGAAAAGGTAGAAAAGAAACTTTAAAGTGGAAAAACTATTAAATATTTGAGTTTAAAGTTTCCCCAAATTCACGTTTCCTAAACCTCTAAAAGGCCCGCTCACAGACAAAAACAGAAAGTGGGGTGTAGAATACGAGGAAACGGCCAGCAGAATGAATTAAAATGGAAAAACATGTTGATGTGACATACAATTCAAAAAATGAATGTATTTTATAAGCTGAATTAAACAACAACAAAACGGGCACCAAGGGAAGACACTCCAACATCCAGTGTGATCCAGACCAGCTAAAGTTAAAAACCACCACCGGAAGTCTTCCACAGCAGCCACAGAAGAAAAATAGGGAGAAGAGGAAAAGGAGGCGAGAAGGAAGGAGCCCAAAGAGATTTAAAAAAAAAAAAAAAAAAAAAGGGCGGTGAAGAATGGCGAGCAAAGAGAAGAAACCAACTTTTATAAAATACTGCTGCTTCTCCCTGAGCAGTAAAAGTCGTCGTGTAAATCATCCGGTCTGTGAGCCACAGAGAGCAGACGCCAAGTCCTGAACACAAACTGAGGTGACGGGACAAAGCTCAGAGCTGTCCGAGGCGGAAGTGTGGACACATCCACGCGCCTGCGCCGGCTAATCCCTTCTCATTCAGCTTTGCCACAGGGAAGAATGCAGAGCCCCGAGTGTGAGGCCTGCCCACTGTTCTTCGGCACCTACCCCAAGGCTGGAACAAGATGCCAATCACTCCAGACAGCTCAGAAAGAAGTAAACAAGAAAAGCCCCTCACTTCCCACTCCACAGCATCTCAGAGGGACAGAGGACGCTCTGCAGTCCACCCACTTGTGTATGGTGTCTGTCACCTCAGCTACGAGGAGCCCATGGGTAGGAGAGAAAAGATCCCCAGAGCTCCAGGTCAGTGAGACCCTGTCAAAAGTAAAGTGGACAGGGATGGAGGAAGACATCCACCCAATCACTGACCTCTGGACTTCACATCTGCACCTACACACACACATTTGGGTGTGCATACACATATACACACGCCAAACAAATATCCATCTAATTATTCATGGTAAACATTTAACTTTTTTTTTTACATTTTATTACTTATGTGGAGGGCATGCCCTGTATAGAGGACTCTCTGTTCCCACCACGTGGGTCAGGGGTACGGAACGCGGGTTGTCAGTATTGGCAACAAGTGCCTTTACCCACTGAGCCACCTCACCAGCCCCCTAGATATGTGTTTATTAAAATTAGGCACGTCTCTATTAGCTAACCCTCAAACATTCTATTCCCAGGGTGCGTCACGAACCAGGGAGTCCACTTCTTTTATATCTTTGGAGGTCTCTCAAGAAACCACACCTGAACCTTGCCCATTCGAACCAGCACGCAGGCCAAGTCAATTAAGGCTTTAAACAAGCTAATGGAGGCCAGGTAACATGCCCACGGCCTTCCAAGTTTATCGAGCAAAACTAACGGCTTAAGGTGTTTACAACGTACTAATGACAGTCATTCAATCCCTCAAGGAAGGTGCAGCACTCAGAATGGGGAAAAAAAAAAAAAAGTCCAGTTCAATGCCCCCCAGTTTTACAAACACCACCCGTTAAATCATCCCCTCGTGCTAGGAGCCCCGACAGGACGCTGAACTTGAAATAAATGAGTGGTACGGTATTGACATCATTGCATAAAAGCAGCCTCAAGTACGCAGACTGAAGAGTGTGGCTGTGGGCATCTATGCAACCACACCCTCTGGTGGCTTCCCGGGCACGCTCGGGCCGAGCAGCGTCACGGCGTCGGGTGGCCAACCGAGTAGAGGTCCCAGGTGTGTGATCCAGACACGGAGCATCAGAGAGCACGACGTCCCGGTGCACCCGGCATCCAGGACCGGGAAACCTGGGCTTTCCATCTTCAGCACCAGTCCGAAGAGCCTGCCCTGCCCTGCCCTGCCCTGCCCTGCCCTGCCCTGCCCTGCCCTGCCCTGCCC